ATATATAATATATATATATAAAGCAGGGGCCGTGAAGAGAAGCAGTAGTTTACTCAATTAATCACTACAATTCAATACACTGCCTCGTTGGACTATCGTAATTTTAACATGTTCTTCAAAAGAACAAAGAACAGATGGCTGTTAGTTGTTTCACTGTATGAATCAGCCTTGACTCCGTCTGGTATCAGCAAACCGTTGTTAAAGTGGCAACTGGCGCTGTACAAGACTCTTCACTGCGGTTCCAACTACTGTGACTTTTGTCTGCTTTCTCTATACTGTGTCAATACCGAACCCAGTAGTCCGGACCATCCGTTGAACACACACCATCCCCAGATGCAAACTGAGAAACCACCGTATAATTGGGAAGTTAGCTATATGGATCCGAAAGACCCGAGGCTACTTCCGCTTCAAACTGACGTACAGAGCTTGAGGTAGCATCCTGGCTTTATTGGAGCCATACTCAGATAGATTGGCTAAGGAATCGCTAATCAAAAATTTCTCAAACAAACAAACTTAGCCTCAATGCAACTGCTGTTTACTCAGTCACCCATGAAGGTGCAAATAATTCCTCTCTGGTGAGCTGGCATTCCTTCCCGGAGTAGCCTGTGGCATCCGCACACAATGTGTAAGGCCAAATGTGGTTTGCATTCAGCCACTTGTGTACTCAAATGGACTCGCTATGCGCGTTTAAACCCGGGGGAATATGACCAGAGGGTGAACAGAAAGGGGAAATTCTGAAGCCAGAAGCATGCCGTCTTGGCAACCCCCGACCGTCAAATCAAGTGGAGACAACTGAACAGCTGAGAACAACAGTATATGGTAGCTAGGATCATGAAAAAGACAATCTAGAAAAAAAATATGGCTATCAATCAGTGGACCTGGATGAACTGTTGGTCACATTGTCAGTGAGTTTTACACAAGGTCGAGAAAACTGTAGTCGGATAGATACCCATTAAATCCATGGTAATCGCGCATGACAACTTCAAACCAAGGGGATTTTATCGACTGAATAAGTGAAGTGATCCTGTTCGCACGTCACAATTTATTAGCACATGAGAGAAGTTTTAAGAGTCTTTTGTACACTAAAGGAAAATTGATCATAAGTTGAGCGTGCACTTGTTTTGAGTGATACGTACTGGAAATTCCGATGTCCTTCTCTGAATGAGACCGCAGTGCATTATAAAAGACAGATGGCACTGATGATGCTCCGCGCACTTTACTCATAAGCACTGTTCAAAATGATTCACAAGATGGCCTTTCCTTAGAGTGAAAATCTGCACGGTTATATGGCATGTAATGACTAAACAGCAGAGAAATAGGACACACATAGTGTTGGGGTATTCTCTAGTGCTCATAGTATCAGCAGTACATGGTGACTTGTAATGACGCCAGAAGTCAAATCGCACTTGCAGGTCGTTGGGTATTCGTTGCAGATCGGCAGTCGAGGGGATTGGTATAGTTAACAACCTGGCTACTTGTACTAACCCCGATGGAAAACGAAGTGACCACTCATCGAGATGGAACAACCGAAATTGGTTTTGTTAAACACCACTAACTTTAGTGCCAGCACGGTATCAGCTAAGCTAACAATAGAAGAGGCCACTTTACCACAATGAGACCGAAAACCTTTCAAGGATCAACGATGCGACACACGGTCACGGAAGTTACATGACTTCCGAAACTTCGCCATCGGTGTCTCCGAAGTAGTACCCAGATTTGGTGGATATACTGGTTCGGAATTTCTGGAAGAGCTGTCAGTAGGTAGTGCTGATTTAGCCACACACTTCCGTGTATACAATATATATGGGAATCCTGGGCGATAAACCGAAATGCATTGTCGACCACCGATGTCTCCAATAGCAAATACAAGATGAGATGTCCCAGTGGCTAATGACGATGTCAGATCCTGTAACTAATGGCATTCAATTAGTAAAACTACCTCTTATGGTCCGTAGCTGTCCCAAGTTCTAATCTATCAGAAAACTCGAAAGATCCAGCACTCAACAACCGGCTAAGCCAGTATCTCTAATGCACCGCTACCACCTGGTCAGTAGCCAGAAAACTACCATGAACTAGGCTAAACGAATCCCTATACCATAAATCCAATGCTGTGAAACTGAAAAGGATGAATTTGCAACAAAAATGAAGCGGTGCATTGGGGAGAAGCCATGTGCCCTATCATTAGGAAAACTTAGCGAAGCTCAATTAAACGCCAAGTTAACGCAGCAGAAGAAAAAAGTTGGAGTTTCAAGCCCTCTGGGTCTGAGTTGAATTCAGTCGGTTCAGTTACTCAGCTATAAAATACGTACCAATGTCTAACGGTTAGATCATCGAGAATAAGGAGACTAAGAGGTGACACCCATGAGTTCGAGACGGTGGCCCAACCGGTCATTTGACGTCAAACTGTTATGGACGAATATAGTGCCTTGAGGAAAGGTGTATGGACTTAACACATTCAAATATCACATGAAAACAAAGGTAACGAAAGTGACCAACCAAAGTTAATTTATCATGCGAATCCAGCGTAGAACACCTATATGCCATGCTTCAAGTAATATTCCTGTTGACCCTCGAAAGCTGCTTGCGTTGAAAAGATGCTACATTTTTAATTAGCTTAAATAGAAGTAACCAATAAACTATTGCAACACGACTGACTTTACGGACAGAGTCAAGCCCGTTCAGGATAGCTTTTCCAGTGATTGAACGAAGGTTATGCTCCGTTCTTGCTAGCTCATCCCTTGCGTTGTTCAGTTCATGTGCTATACGTGTCTCTTCTCGATAGACTGTTTGCCTATCTGTCTGTATTTCATCTTTCTCCCTTCGAAGACGGCGTTGTTCCTCAGAAACCTGGAATCAACGGAAAGCAGAAAGTTTCAAAACAATAGCATGAAGAAAAATGCGGTTTTAAATACCTCAAGAAAGGGACCGTAAGCAGAAATTGTTCACTTATATGGCGTTCCTCCCCTCAAATGGAGACCATTCATACATAAAGGGTGATTTGTTCGAAAGGAAACACTTCAACCGATCGGGCAAGCAAAGGTTTGTACACAAATGGCTGTCTTCTTCTGTAAAGGCCTCCCTACAGAGGGAACAACTTTTGGTCGGCCACAACAAAATGTGGACTTCGTGGATATGATTGGAGCACTTGCAGGTGTGACCCAGAGCTGAAAACGGGCCATAGGAAACAGATTCCAAGACTGCGATTAAATTCGATGCACACAGCCGATCGAGGTGATGCTACCCTACATAGTGAAAGGCGAGGCTAGCGAGGCCATGTCACTAATCCAATTGTTACAAGCACACCCAGATGAGCGTAGGGTGGCTTCCAGTAAAGTTGTTAGTCTACATTGTTGTTCGAGTCGCTTTTTACACGCCAGCGGTCTTGGAGATCAGACCAAATGAAAGTGGTCTGTGTGCAAAGGTAGATTCAAAGACTAATTATATCGGCGATTGGGTAGTCGCTCAAATAGGTGCCACATGAGGGGGCGAACTTATCTATTTTTGTGGGTAATCGTCAGTCATACAGAATAATAAATGCCAGAAAGACTACGCAACCCAATGTCCCGGATTTTAGAAAATTGTTCGCCTTATATCCAGGGGCTGTCAGTTTTCTGCACAATGCCCGGGGATAAGAGTAGACTCATGGATCATGGAAGTGCAAGATCAACAGACAAAAACAGCTCACCGTCTCCAGTTCCTTTCGGACGCATGCCATATTTTCTTCAGCAACCTCCAAATCCTTTTGAAGCTTTTCTCTCCGGTCGTCATCCTTTTTTATTTCGTCAGTCAGCTTGCTGATGGTATTTTCCTTGTCTTTGATCGCCTTGGCCAGACTTTTCATCTGATCTTTAATCCAGTCGTCACGCTGGCTTCGAGACTGGAATTGGTTGACACGGCCCTGTTTAGCAAACAGTTCCTTCCTGAGATGGTGTGATGCAAAATAAATTGTGAGTGAGCAAAAAAGTGGAAATGGGATGAAATTCATTTGACGCTACCATAATCCTTCTGCCCATCGACAATGTACTGATTCCCAATTGGATATGGGCGAAGTTACTTCCGCGACTGCTAGCCGACATAAATGAAAATGTGATTAGCCTAAAGCCACATATGCTCCACAAGAAAGCGGAATCTCCGAAATGCCACTGGAAATATCATTTAAAAGATATGTAGTTCAAAAAGGAGCACACTGTTTGACAATTCCAATAGGAAGCTTTAAACCGAGCTATTTTTCTTGTCATCCCACGGGATGCGCTTTGCAAATGTCAGACGGCTTTATCTCACATCCTGGTTACTCAGAACATACCATAATAAACGCTCAGGCAAATACAAAGTATGTAGGTTTCTTAATTACACAGAGCAAGACTGCCCGCAACAGTCAAATATCACACTGCAGCCCCTCAAAGCATGAGATAAACACATTCACATGGAGTAAGCATGGTTTTCACTGGAATTCGTCGACGACGTCTTTGAAACCGTTTTCCCTATTACTGAATAATTATGCATACCTGCGGATGGGTGTCAAAGTGACGATGTGATAGAAAGTGACCTCTAGTTTTCAAGGGAAAGTTTAGGGGAGTTTCAGCGACAAGCTGACAAGAAATAGTGAAAGTAATTCCCTGGGCACGAACTGACTGAACCTATCACACAATGCACACACATCCAGGCCATCCGAGTCATTCTAGGCTATAGTTGACGAACAAGGGGTTATCAAACAGACCAACGCCTACTGATAAATTAGTAATCAAGAGAAAAGAATGTTATGCGCAATTATGCCTTCCCACGTTCCTTCGGAGTGACAAGCTCGGAGAATCGCACACATCAGGATCAAAGATTTGGTCTGTTAGACCATTACTTGCTGCGGCCCTCAGTGACCCTTCGGATCAGAGCAAATTAGGCAGTATAGGTTGAGTTAGCTATTGTGAATGACATTCCCCTCTGAAGGAAGCGAAAGGAACTAGGGTTTAGAGAAATCATTCTTCTCAGGATGCAACTACTCCATTGCGGTATCGAATTCGATTGGGCTGTTATACGGTGGAGAAAATGGAAAAGCGGAAGGATAGCTAGACGTACTCATGAATTCAGGAAAAGGACGCAAAATTGCGACAAAATGTCTGTCAACTGGGAGACTAACTGACCTGCGATGTTCCGCATCACTCAGCGTGTTGGCGAGCTCGTCCTCGTGCTGTTTTGCCTTCTTGTATTGAGGTCGTAACTCCGCCAGGCGGCGTTCCACTTGTTGAATCTGTTCTCGGACGCGAGCTAACTCTTCTGCAGCTCGCTCGCGGGCTGACTTGCCACCACGTAGTGTGGCAGAATAGTCTGCTATGGTGAGCTGAAGTTGCTCTCGACGTTGCAGCACATCACTCACAGATGCCTGAACCTGCTCAACTTCATCTTGCATCTGAGCTTCTTTCAAACGGTTATCGCGTAATTCGCGTTCCAGACGCTGTGAAGTGATACGAGAAACTGTTGTAAAGCTACTATAGTGCATCACAATTGTAAGTGCAGATACTGTGTAGAAATAGTAAGCCATTCGTACCGTCGTCATTCCATTAGAGTCTGCTCAGACTGGAAAGCCTACTTCAGAAATCATCACTGAAAAGCTGAGGAACGTAAGATCACTGGTGATTTCGGTAATCAACGGGTGTCTACTTACTAGCTATCACTGTAAAAACACAATACAATTAATTTTTCTGCAGCTGGAATATAGGTGGTAGCTTGCTTGTTAAGGAGCTAACGTACGAATCAGAAGGGCTCAAGTTCGAACCCAACATCAGCATCCTAATTACTTCTGCCTATGCTTGGGTTATCTGGCAGGATCTCGTCCCTCGTGCCTTTTACAGGTGGTATGACAACTAGACACCAAAAGGAGTTGCATCTGAACGATTGGTGTTGGTATTGCTAAATGTGTTGGAAGATTTTATCCTCTTTCTCAATTATGCAGCACAAATAGAGACATCCTATCAGTTTTCAGACGTATCTCATTCAGCTAAGTGCGTAAAGACGTCAGAACCTCTGACCATCATCGTTATGCTGGTATCCACTTGCAAGATATGGGCTGGTATGTTGGGTTACTCAGAACCACGAAAACAACTTGTAGAAATCAATTTGGGTTATGGGCAGATAAAATTGACCTCACTGTCCTGGGAAACCCCGGTTATTCCAGGAAAAAGTAGAAGACGTCTTAGACTGTTCTCACAGGGAAAAAAAGAAACATGCCTCAATCTGATCAGCACATTCTTTGGCCGCACGGCGAATCTCAGCGGTACTTTCACTGCTTTGCTCTCTTTTGGACTGGATATCTTCCAGTTTTTTCTTGGTTTCCTTCAGCTCACGATCGTATATGGTGTACTCCAGAGCTCGGCGTTCGCGGTCCCAATGCTGATACTCTTTCAATTCTTTTGTTTCATTCTCCAAAGTACGCAGTCGATCTTCTATGCTGTTCAGCAGTTCCGAAATCTGTTCACGCTTGGCTTCTAGAAGGTTAAAAATAATTAAGAAAAAGGGGGAATGGAGGGCAGGTGGGATGCATACAGCCTTGAAAGGCAAGTAAACGTTTAGCCGTCAACGCAGTAGTACCCTTGAGACCATAGAATGACATTTCTCTGGCCGTAATTTGTAGTCCTTCGCTCTGAAACGCACATTTCGCAGCTGAAAACGCAATCAAACCACAAATAGGTCTCCGTAGCCACTGATGTAGGGGAAGAAAAATTCCATCATGGAATGATGCCATTATGCTTGAAGTGAGGTCAGATCCAGCAAAAAGTCGTCCACCCCACTGCCTCAACTGATCCAGCAGATGGTCTGTAATCTTATTTCTGTAGTGGAAACGAAGTTCCTCTTCATCTTATCGCAAGTGTCTTCTGTTCCGCTTCCTAAGTAATTTATTCATTCAACTCAGCTCATTTCCAGTCAGCCCTACCAAATGCAAAACCCTTTCGATCTCTCACTCGCACAACTCGTCACTGCGTCCCAAACATTTAAAAATATTCAACTAATCAAGACTTCTGCTAACGCTCAATTCCATAAAATTACTTGTGTCTATGCTACGGATATGATTCCTCGTTCTCCACATCTCCCAAACGTCAGGATGATTTCTTCGTGATTCGTTACATTGTCACCGCTTTTGCAGAAGTCCTCGATTATTGTCCTGAGCGCCCCCGTTAATCACAACGAAGGAATGGAAACCTAAGGGGGGTCCATCGCGAGGAAAGGGAGATTGGGCGTCCCGTGAGGAAGAATCATCCTCTTCTGACAGATCGAGAGCTAGGCTGCGGCAGACGGGGAACGCCGTTGAAAACTCCCCTGTGACTACCTTTAACAAGTTTTCTTTTGGATGGAATTTATACAGTGGCCTACTTTAGTTAGTCATACCTGAGTGACGCTGACCAACCACTAGCCCAGTGCGCAAGATGTTCGGTTCCGTTCAGTTATCCGGGGACAAAACTTATCTCCGAGTTGCTGGCCCCTAAATGATCGTACGAGTGGGCTATTGGGTTGAGCGAATTCCCTCTGTTTACCATTTATCTCGAGAATGAAGGGAGATTGCTACAGAAAACGAGAAACAAATGAAATACACTCAGCAGAAAACTACATTGGTGTTGATGAGAATTTCAGATGAAGCTCTCGTTCATGATATTCTTGAACTGAATATGCTGGACAAATGTCACCTCATGTTTCACTTCACACGACATTCGAGACATCGCAATATATTTTCACAATAGAATATAAAGTTGCTGGGAATTCGGAGACTACTCTACTCTCTAGAAGGGCGAAACGGGTTGTGGGCTGCCGAAGAGCCTTCAGCAACCTTATCAGCAGTGTATTCCGTCAAGAAAATGTTAATGGCCCTTCAGGTTCTAAGGGACAGAAACAAGTTTAGATAGCAGCTAATAAGACGAGCGAATAGCCTTACCGGATTCTTTGAAGATCTGTTTGCTTTCTTCCTTACGTTCGTCGTAAACTCTGGTACCAGCCACCTCTCGCAGAAGCTTCAGTCGTTGGTTATCTGGTGCGGTAGCTAACTGTGTGATCTGTTGAAGAAATAAACGGGGGATGAAACGTGAGCCAGTAACCTGTGTAATGAAAGAGGAAGTACCTGGGCAGCTGTATCAGTCCGGGTGGAAAGGCCTTGGCAGCTTTTGTGAGCCTGTGCCACTGGTGACGTAGGCGTGACATTAGCTTCTCTGTTAACGATCGAGTTTACAATGCTGCGGTGCGCTCCATATTACTATATGGATCAGAAACCTGACCGCCGCGCACCGAGGACGTCAAAAGACTTTCAGCCTTTGACCATCGATGTCTTCGGAGCATTGCTCGAATCTGCTGGGAACACCGGATTAGCGATGCTGAAGTACGTCGAATGGTATTCGGGAGAAATAACTTACCCTCGATAGATGAAGCGATCACACTGCATAGGTTGCGCTGGCTTGGCCACGTGCTGCGTATGCCAGTCGACCAACTTCCTCGAACGGCTCTTTTCGCACAACCAGGTGAAGGGTGGAAGAGAGCCAGAGGCGGTCAAACAATGACTTGGCAGCGAAGTATGAAAGCCATTACCAGCAAACTCAGCTGCGCTGGTCACTGCCGTCTTTCTGGATGGGGACCCGAGACGGGTCACTTCAATGGCTAAAGACATTGCCAGATATGGCCCAGTCGCGCGCTCGATGGCGCTCGTGCATCAAAGCTATTGCCTTCAATGCATAGCTCCTTTTCCAACTCCCCACTTGACAGTCCACTGACAGTGCTGTATGTACGCACCAATTTATCAGCTCCCGCCTGCAATACGCAGCTACCTACCCCTCCTCCCCCAAAAAAATCATCGGTGAACGAAACTGCGGCAGCTACAACCACTGTACGACAAGTACGCGGTTATTTCAGCTGACAATGATGATGATGATAAGCAAATTACATACGGTTTGGTACCAACGCTGCTCCTAAAGGTCACTGTGGACTACTGAGTCCTTCAGACGCATCTTGGTGGCCGTCCAAAAGTAAAATGCGAAGAATGAACATGCTGTACAAGGTACTGCTGTGCGAATTCCCTGCGCTTCGAAAACTTGGAAAGGTTATTAAAGCGCATCTTTTAGGGGCATTTTAGGGCCCGAGAATACGCCACTTTCCGTCACATCGGGAAAGGATGAGAAAAATATTGACTCTAATACGGTAAATCACTTTGAGGATTCGCTTTGGTGAACATTACTTATTGAATACTGCCGAGAAAAATCATACCGAGTAAGCTAACCTGTAATCAAACCCTGCTCTGAATAGACTACTGGCCATAGGTCCTCTATTACAATAACTGCATCGTGTCATGGCCCCGTGAGAAAACAGGGACAAAGCAACTTGAGATTGTATCATTGACTTTGTGGTACCTACAAACCGATTTGTCTCGTACATCCATGTTACTGGCCCAGAACTGACCTACACGTTCCACATATTGTCTATTTGTACCAACTTTGCACATAACTATCACCAGAGGCGGTGACATCAGTGATGACACTGACGCCTCATCACTGTGCAGCCAAAGTCCACTTAATTATATTGAAAGCCCACCACAAGTCTCCTGAAGTGCCTAAACCATTGAACACCTAACCAAACAATCTGAAAAGAAGCTGATAGCGCGACAGCCAGTGAAACCGGTAAGACACCATCTTCCTGCAACATCTCTAACTAGGTAACAGGGAGTCAAGGGGATCTCGTTGTGGAGTGTGAGCTGGCTCAAAAACACCCACTCTTCACAACCTCTTTCACACCCTTTCGCGTCATGGTGCGATTTGCGCCATCCTGGAGGTGGCATGGATGACAACACTTCTCGTAACCATACAACAACGGGGCCACAGCTGTAACCCGCAGGCATTTTCACGCCACAAAAAGAAATCGGGAAACGTAAACTCGGCCTTCGAGACCTCACCAGACATATGTACTCCAGAGGTAATATGACTACCAGTGCATGTAAAAATAATTCACGATCTATATAGTTTCTCCTTGAATTGTGAGGAGACTGTACTCCGTAGAAAGTGATTTACTCACGCTGTATGCCAGTTGGTCTATGGCACCAGTGCAATTACAGCCCTGTAGCCTCATTACCGTCTATGTGCGCGCAAGGTACTTTCAGTTCCGGTCTACAGCGCACGGTTGAGATTCCGCTTGGCCTTCTTCATTTCCATGAACCGGGTTGCACTTCTATGTAAATTGGACCGAAACCCTGTACTTCTGACGGAGAGTTGTCCCACATACTTCTCTAGTTTATGTTGTGATAAGCGATTTCATTTGTTCTCACAAATTTTCGCATCCTCATACTATGCTCTCCGATAGAAAAGCCGTTAAGAGCTTAAAAGGTTCGAGGAATTCATCTCCAAGTTTCCACTATTGAAGTTGAGAATGAACGTCGTCCTGCAGTAACAACCTTTCGGTGAAAACTGTTATGCCACGGAAATGAAGTAAAATAGCTAACAGAATGCCAGGTCGCCGAAGCCAAGACATACGTAGTCGAGATGCCGCGGGTTGGCTCACGGTTAGTAAGTTCGTTTCTCAGCCACTGAACTGCCTCGAGCTTGAGAAACTAGATACTGAATTTCTCGAAGCTATCCAGGCACAGCACCCAAAAGAATCCTTAGACGGACGTCAAGGATCCTAGCTTTACCCTTGCTAGGGACGAGACCCTTTCTTGGTAAACCACACTGCAGCTTGCTACCGACATTTCATAACCAACCGAACAAAGGGAATTCATAGAAAGCGGGCGATTCTCGGGGACGTATCTGAAAGGCCTTCCAAAAGTTCTGTAGAGAGTAAAAAGATATTCTAGGGTTGCTTTTAGAGCCTGTTAAAACTTATGTGAACAGGAATCTCGAAAAGCGAATCGTAACCCCTTATGGTCTACTTTTTAACCTGCCACAAAGCCTACCAATTCTTCCAAAATCGAGACTGTGCAAAGTCACCAAGAATAAACGACACAAAACACACCCATTGAGGTGCATTGAAAGTGTGGATGTTACCTTTCCTTGTTTCACTATGTAATATGGGTTACTTCTGGAAAACCCAGCACTTTCAAGCATGTTCATCACGTCCGCCTTTCTGGAAAGTATAAATTTGCATAATAATTCGCACTTACGTGACCATCTTCTTATCCAAAAAGTACTGATCTTTTTTACTCCCAATAATTCGTCGAAGAGAAACTTCATTCTTATCGATCTGTTGAAAAAAATCAAGCATCAGGGCAGAATGAAAAAAGCGCCCACCGGAATACGCATGTCAGAATTATCAAAGATGATCTCTACGTAGGCGGAGATAACCCTTGGTCCAGTGCCCTCATGTAGAAGATTTTGGCGCTCTTGATTACCAAGGTGGCTGTACTCATCGGAGAGCACAAATTGAATTGCCTGAAAAAAATTCGATTTTCCTGAACCATTGCGGCCCACTGATATCGTCTATTCGGGTCAATTTGGGCAAGCTTACCGATAATATTATGGTGCGAACTGAATTCTTCGGGACAGGTCTGGTCACGGTAACTGCGGAACCCCTGGATTATAACCTTCTTGATGTACATTGGAACTGGGGACTACTAGCAACGGACCCAGCGGGACTCTAGCCGCTGATTGGTCAATGTGTTCGATATGTTGAAAAAGTTCGAACACTAATGTTGGGCTGAAAGCCTGTAGATCCATCAAAGTAAGTATGATCTCTGACCTCATTCTCGGTTTCGACTGACAGATGTAATGATGGAAATAGGTAGGCGAACTTCTTAATCACTCAGAATCATGTTTGAGAGGGTTAACGACCATGTATCGCAATTTATGGCTATTCACGGATTCACGGATTGATGCGCAGGATCGAGGCTATTGCCCAAGTTTCCCGGGTCGCTTTTGTTCTTGTCGGTAAGTGGATGCCGTTCGCCTGAAAGGCACGAGTGAAAGAAGGGTGTAGCACTGCTCTTTATGTTCTCAGCGCGGGGCAGTATGCTTGCCAGCGCGAGGATTCG